CGACTGCATGCAGCCTATCTACCACTCCCTGAAATATTAGATTGTCCCGTGACCTGTGGATTTCCCAAGTTTGGGGTAGGATATTAATAAAGCAACGTGACCTTTATCGGTGGAGAACAAGCACCGAGATATGTTTTCAAAAAATAGTAAAGAAAGTAAGTAAAGATCCTTTTTCAAGCCTTTTGGGCGTTTCGAGTAAATGGGAAGAGAGCCCATATTTTCTCAGACCATCAGCACTCTGTGGGTAATATGGTCAACATTTTACCGACCGTCTTTACTTTCCTAGGACAGCCATTCTAGCACCACGTTTAGACTGGGTCGACCTGCGACGCCCCATAACATGATATAAATCCAAGCAGCCAGCAGTGAGTTTCCATCGCAGTACGTTGGAATTACGTGTCGGACTCGCAACGCCTAAGCCACGGACGCCGCTCAAAAGAATGGTACTCTGCCGTATATTTGGAAACTAATGGGGTAGCCACATAGTCTCTTCAGTCGGCGTCTGAGATTTATGGATTGCTAAAACACCGGTATAAAGCAGTAACATTCCAAACTAACAGTTACATAGAACTTGAAACATCATGAAATACATAAATTGTATTGCTAAATAAAAGTAAAGGACCCGTTTCTACGCTTTTCATGCGTATTGGGTGTATAGGGCTAGATCTATATTTTATAGACCAATCGGCACAAGATGGGTGATGTGGTCAGTAGGGCTGTACCGAATAGTGATTTTCACTATTCGACCGAATACGAAAAGTGGGTCCAACTATTATGCCGAATACGAATAGTGTATCATCATCATCAGGTGCCTTGCCGACTGGCGTTGGCGATTTGACCTCGCCACAATCTGTGATCTCCTGCAGCATGTATCAGTTCGTGTGCTGACACCCGTCCATGCTATGCAACAAGACTGTCAAGAATCTTCTCTCGTTGTCTTTCTTTATTTTCTTTATCTCTGCATCCACAGATTTTTCCAGTGGTCACCACATGTTCCATTTTCCCTCTTCTCATAACATGGCCGAAAAATGATGACTGTCTCCTTCTGATGTCTGTGATAAGTTTTCTTCGGGCTCCCGCCTCTTTCAAAATCTCTTGGTTGCTGTTTTTTTTTTTTCTGTCCAAGTTATTTTAAGCATTGTTCTGTAAAACCAAATTTCTGAGGCCTCAAGAAATTGTTTGGCTTGCCTGCCGATTGTCCAGGACACAACCATATGTTAAAATTGGATGTATGCAGCAAGCAAGAATTCTTTTTCTAACATTCAATGACAAAGATACATTGCATAAAATGCAGTTTTTGCCTGTCCTTTTCTGTTTCTTATTTCAGTAATGCATCTTCCATCGGATGTTATCCATATGCCAAATTCGCATATAAATCATCGTTCGCTCGGCCGTTCGTTCGACGTAATGTAAACGCACCTTCAAATTCTTGTTAGGAATATCTTCAAATTTGATTTGGACAAAGACACCCTGAAAGAACGAAAAAATACATGATCTCTCTTTCTCTTTCTGTCTCTCTCTCTCTCTTTTTTCACACACACACACACACACATACACACACACACACACACACACACACACACACACACACACACAGACACACACTCACACAAGCAACAACAACAAAAAAATCGCATTGCCTTTAAATAAATGTGCTTACTTATCTGCTGCACCTTCACGAATACAGATGGAGAATCGGTCGCATGTCGAGATAAACACAAAGACAATTGTTAGCACGCTGCAGTTGGCATTTTATGCAGTATAATACACTTTGAGTGTGAAACATGAGAGAAAAAGAATTTTTTTTTTTTTACAATGGCTGGGAAAGACAATTTGAATTTCAACTTTTAAGTATCTTCTTGCCTTCTTTAATAATGTCACAATTTTACAGCTGACTTTTCTTGATTTTCGTCGCGGCACCCCTGGCTTACACACCCAGTTTGAGAACCTCTGCTGTAATGCCTAAAACGAGTCAGCAGGCAAAGACCACGGCCGACTCAGTCTGAAAAAGGCGGTGGACAAACTTAGGCAACGGCAACTATTGTGTTAATGACAGAGTTTTTTCAGTCCATTGCAGTGTATGCAGAAATCACTATTCGTATTCGGCCCGACCGCCACTATTCGGCCGAATACCGAATAGCTATTAGGTCCACTATTCGGCCCCGAAGCGAATACGAAGCGAATATTCGGTACAGCCCTAGTGGTCAGCATCACGCCGGCCGCCTTTACTTCTCAGGACATCACCTTATACCCACTCAAGGCTGGGTCGACTTGGGAGTCATGGTCATTTTTGAAAAATGTCTGACTCCACCAGGGAACGAATCCACGACCTTCAGATCCACAGGCGAGCGTCTAGCTGCTACGTCACGGCTACTACCAAATTGTATTACTGGGCGCAAATAATTAATTTTCTTAAGAATCTACAGCCATTCAACATACACGATATAAAATCTTTTCAGAAAATATGAAACCAGTTAGAGCCTTGGTTGGTCGTCTATGGTTTTCCCAGGTTTAACACAATCTCGCAAACCCCTAATTGGTCATCTTTTACGACTTATTCATTTAGGGAATAATGGCCTCTTCCTGTCCCATACCTCCCTTAAGAAGAGTCCTAGAACTAACATAGGGAAAATACCCAATAGACTGATTATTAAAGACTTACGATTTGGTCTTGGGCAGATAGACGACAGTGATGTCATGTGTGTGTTCTTGAGACTCCTCTGTTGTGACGTTGATGTGTTGCCCTGCTAGCAGCATGGTAAACTCGGCGTATGTGATCTGCAGCTCGTGGCTGTGCTCTCCCGCTGGGTCTTGCGCCGTTATGGACAACTGTTGAACGTGAGCAAGATCTTAGTTCAGTCGCGGTGGCAAAAGAGGCGCTCAGTAAGATGCAACAGATTCCCACTAACAACAATGTGTCAGTTGCAGTGAGAATAAACAGTGCTGTGTAGAACCCGTGTTGTTTTATGCATGTGAAACATGAACAATTAGCGGTAAAGCTAAAAAAGACTGCTCTTTCTACCTTTTCTACTGAGCAGAGATGTGGTTTCTGAGAAAATGGCAAAGAATATCATATAAGAATAAAGTTGAGTTTATTCAAGAACCGACCTTACAGCACTCGGGGAATTCCTATAAGCGCCCCGTCTCCATTTTCTGCAGCAAGTGCAGTTTAAATACTAATGGTGCCAGTAGCATTCTGATTAAACGTCCGTCTTGCCTTACCTCTGAGCCTAGAGCATCTGCCAGAACTTCTCGTCACTCCCCGCTGCATCAATCTCACCAGATTGTGGTGATCCATCTGCTCCTCTGAACTGTAATGCTCTCCCACAAGGACCTAACAACGTCTGCCTTATCATACATCAGTATTCCACCAAGTTGTGCAGAGCCAGTCAGTCTGTCCGACTGTTTATTTCCCAACACAACGGCGTGTCCAGGAGAAGAATTCCACACAATACTTCTTACCCGTCGTGTGCTGCGCATCGAAGCATGCCACTCTGCAGGAAAACATTCCTATCCTGACCTTGCTCAACATGCTTTCTGATTCGGGTACAATCACCATATGTGTGTGTGTGTGGTGTGTGTGGTGTGTGTATGGTGTGTGGTGTGTGGTGTGTGTGTGTGTGTGTGGTGTGTGTGTGCGTGTGTGTGGTGTGTGTATGGTGTATGGTGTGTGTGTGCGCGTGTGTGGTGTGTGTGTGTGTGGTGTGTGTGGTGTGTGTGTGTGGTGTGTGTATGTGGTGTGTGTGCGTGTGTGCGTGTGCGTGCGCATGTGTGTGGTGTTTTCTAACCAGCGTAAAGCTGCATTGACCGGCTTCAGTTACATTCTTAAGCTAGATGTTGTAGTATCGTGTGTAAATGTATATGTATATATATATATATATATATATATATATATATATATATATATATATATATATATATATAGAGAGAGAGAGAGAGAGAGAGAGAGAGAGAGAGAGCGAGAGAGAAGTAACATACATGAGTATAGAACAACAAACGAAGCAGTCCTCGCCGAGACAGTTGAAAGTCGTAAAATGAGTAGAACTATTAGACTTCTTTAATATTGAATGTTAAATGAAGAATCGACATCAAAGCACTCTGGACACTCCTATAAGTGCTCAGTCCCCATCTTCAGCAGCAAGCGAAGAGTTCCAATATCGATGGCAGCAGTAACAGTCTGATTGTAAATCCGTCTTATCCTTCCCCTGGGTGTTGAGCGTCGGCCAGATCCCCTGGTAACTCCTCGCAGCGCCGTTCTCCTTAGACCGTAATGATCTATCTGCTGCTCTCCGCTGTTCACCCGTTCTTAAAGGGTCCTCACAATATCTAGCTCGTCATACATCAATTCAACACCAAGTGGTGCAGGGCTGGCCAGTCCATTTGCCTGCTCACTGTAGAACATTTAGACCTAGAGAGTGAATGTTGTGTGTGTGTGCGTATGTGTGTGTGTGTGTGTGTTTCTGTGTGGAGAAGGAAATAATTCGAGAACTTTGTACCAAACTGGCAAGAGGGATGGACAGAGAACTAGAGGAAGACAAAGAGGTAAATACCTGGGATTGCCTGGTCAGATGGATAGGTCAAGATAAAAACAATGAACTGACCCGTGATTCTCGTTATCGTGCGAGATGGCGAAACATTCCAGCGCATGCTTACCGCCGTGACACATAATGATGATGACAAGCTCAACCATTTGGATGTGAAAACCAAGGAGCTACCATCCTATTTTTCCCTATAAACTCAAAATGGAAACTGTGGCTGCACTGACTATGAAAGCGAATAGATGGCAACGTAAAAAAAAAAAAAGAAACAAATAAGACCCCCAAAAATTATGAATAGAAAAAAGAAAAAACATTAACATAGAAAGAAAGCAAGAAAATCTCCATTTATAATAAAAGCGTTAGGTATTCAGTCCACAAGTACCCGGCCAGCATTGTAAAAATGTGAGTATAGAGGCGCAACCTTAACCTCAGCGGAGTCATTACCAACACACAATAATATACCTCAAGTAAGACAGATGGTGGAGGTCCTTCAGCACTCTCGAGTACTTTGTCTTTCAGCGCATTGAGCTCCTTCCACACGGGGCTGCCCTCCCCATGTACCGGTGCTATAGGATACCTGAGTCTGATTTTGCCGATTCCTGTAAAGAGAGCAAAAAGAGCTAAGATTACTGAGAACTGAAACAAACTATTTCAATTGGTCTAACTTAACAAAGGAAAGAAATACACTAGAAATGTGGTTTACTAGCATTTACATTTTCTCAAATCAAATACTCTATCTCGTAACATCATCGCCATCAAGAGCCTTGCCGACTGGCATTGGCGATCATGCATATCCTCACCCGCAAACTTCAGCAGTATGTATCAGTTCGTGTGCTGACACGATGAAAGAGATGGAAAAAGCTGTCACGATCAATTGTCTGGCTTTGTCCCGTTTTCCACAGATCTTTCCAGTGGGAACAACATGTTCCTGTTTATTTCTTCTCATAACATGACCAGAATATTATGATACTATTTTTCATATGTTTGTGACAAGTTGTTCTCGATCCCTTGCTTTTTTCGAAACATCTGGATTGCTTTTTTTTTTCTTTTCTTCCCTCAACATCACATTCAAAATATGTAAAACATCGATAAGACCAGTTGTTTTTTGTGTCTCTGAAACCAGAATTAATAAATTTCACACTTCCCAGAACAGTCTAATGATAACCTTTGTGACCATCACATATTCAAACAGCGGACACTGGAGAGTGAGAAGCAATAAGTAGGTTCCTGATTTGTTTAAATCAACTTAATTTACTAGCATCATGCGGGTTACGAATGTGGTTGTGTAGATGAATGGTTTAAATACACTGGACTCTAGATTAGACAATAAGATGAGGGCGAGCGAGAAATGTATTATCCTCATCGCACACTGGGCGAATCCATAAGCGCTCGGATCCAAATTTCAGCATCTTCTTCAAGTTTTGGGGAGATATAACACCAGTTCTGTGTTGTTTTACTGTTCTTTTCTAGTTACCCGTACATTGCTCATATTTGACAACTACTTTGGTAAAAAGTTCTTGCAGTCTTGTCAATGTTGTTGACCATTGTCAGAGGCCAGTTCGGCTATGGGACGGACAACTCTGATGATAGTGAATCATCACGTATGAACGAGTTGACCTTCAGTAAAACTCAGTATGAGAGCGGGCAGCTTGACCACGGAATAAACTGGGTCCAGTTAACGGGCTAAGCCCAGTTCACACAGGTGACACGGAATACTGCGTATCCAACCGTGAACTCAGGCCGGAGACAAAAAGCTTTGTCCGAGCTGGTTGAGGGGGAGTCGTGTACTGAGATGAGACGAGACAAGACGGAACGTTTTGACTAGGTAAAATTAGGTTTAGCGACGGTTAGTTGGAATGGGATCTTTGTGTTTAGTATCTATGATAGGCTGTGTTTATATTTAATGTTTCGACTAGATAGTATAGAGTTAATGTTCTTTGTGTAGTAGATATTCCATGCAGTATTTGTTTGAGCAGTTAATCAAGGTGTGACGCGCATTGTAATGGCGGTAACACTGCCCAGTCACGCTTAGGCCATACACCTTACGTGTATTACTGTCCCGTGTGGCAATAGACGGCGGCTTAATTAGCACTGAGAAACTGTCAGCTACGAGTCGTGTTCCTTGTAGATCCATGGGGACTGGCTTGGGTTGACCAGTGATTGTGAAGCTGTTCATCGCCAGGGGTTTCGGATAGGAACTGCCTAGCTCAGTTGAAGTGTTTAAAGTCAGTTTGTTCATTGTACATTAAAGATTATGTTTGTACTCAGCAGGGGTGTGTCTTAAGTGTGTCTAGGGTTGTTTAAGTCTGTTAGCTGGTCTACCTAGCGAGCCATATTAAATGTACAGAGTAAAAGTAGGTCCCTGACAACCAACTTCTCGTGAATTACCTACTTGTTTCTTCCTTCTGAGATCATTGAGAACATCGGCCTTGTCGATTGCTTGCCTTGTACCCATAGGGGCCCTGCCTAAATCCAATCCGCTGGTCCATTCTATCTTACCCTAAAGTGTTCTGGCACAGAAATGAAATTGATCCTGTCAGACACGACTTCCTCAGACTCCATGTCTTCAAACCCATCCTGTCTCGATCTTCTTCAACATGTTTACGGCATTAGTTAAAAAGCACTCAATACGTGTCTCTAGCCATGACGTTGCTATTGTTATTGCAATTACTTTCATAGTTAGAATACTTTTAATTTGTCTTCCATTACAGCTCTTGGGGTCAATGATCTGTGTTAATTTCACTTAGAGACACAGAAAGAGTAGTTCTGTTATCTAGCAAGAAGAAAGAACGTTTAACCAGGACCGTCTGCAGCTGACGGGCCATGCTGCTGACGTCACTAAACTGGGTTGACGATACGTTAACGCAGCTATTCTCAAACTGGATGCTATGAGCGTATGTCATAGGTGCCGCGGCAACAATCCTGAATTTTTCTGCTTGACATTAAATTTGCAGTTTTTTTTTTTTTTTTTTTTTTTTTAAATATTCAAGGATAGATGTGCCGCGATTTTTTTTTTTTTTGCCCAACGAAAAAAGTTTGAGGAACGCTGCGTTAGCGTAACGTTAGTCCGGTATGGTGTCGTCAGCAGCTTGGCTCGTCATCCTAAATCAATGAGGGTTCTGGGAAATGTTATGAGAACGAATGGGCTCTGAGAACTTGGTAACAACTGAAAAGATTTAGAATTAGAGTAAGGAGAAGGCAGAGAGGTAAATATCTGGATAACTTGCCCACTTGGATAGTTTGAAACAAGAACACTGATCTGATCTGTGATTCTGGTGATCATTTGAGATAGCGAAACGTGACAGCCTAATCTTAGTGGCACGGTCCATGACGATGATAATGGCCTAAACTTTAGAAGACTGGCTTAAAGAGCACGAGGAAAACCAAGATGTAGATGAGTCAAGTAGGAAACTTCTTAAGTATACCAATGGCGCATTAGACATATGAAGCTAGTTTCAAATTTGTTATTACACTAGTCGACAGACACCCTCAGTGGGTTATGTAATGAGTATCATGCCGACCGCCTTCATTCCCATGCATTCTCCTACTATTCCTCCCAATCTGCCTTGGTGCTTGATATGGCCATAATATTTCATTTCTGAGACAAGATGCTGTTTACTCGACAAACTTCCTTGATTCGAAAGACATATTTATTTATTTTTTAAATTTAATTAATGAATTAATTAATTAATTTTTTTATTTTATTTTTTTTTATTTATTTATTTATTTATTTATTTATTTATTTATTTATTTATTTGCGGTCCATGATATTCTGAGAATCTTTTAAAAACACGTTTAAAAATTTTAAACTAGCACACAAACGGAACAATTCTACTGGATCAGAAATGGATGGGCAATCTGGACAAGCTATGCTGAATATCGTGTACATTCACCCACCTTCGATGTTCTGAAGAATGACTCTTGTGCCAGAGGAGGAGACTTTCTTGACCTGTCCGTCAGAAGCCAGGACATGTATGAAGCTCTTTATTGTGTCAGCTGGGTCCGATCTGTCCAGTGGGCCTGCGGAACACGTCACAAGATACATTATCAAGCTGCTCCCACTCCTTTACCTCTGCTTATTAATGTGGATACGTGGGAGCAGGATGCCGTAGTTCAAGCTGCATTAAAGGGGAACAACCAGGAAGATGCCATAGTTCAAGCTGCACGAAAGGGGAACAACCAGGAAGATGTCATAGTTCAAGCTGCACGAAAGGGGAACAACCAGGAAGATGTCATAGTTCAAGCTGCACGAAAGGGGAACAACCAGGAAGATGCCATAGTTCAAGCTGCACGAAAGGGGAACAACCAGTAAGATGCCATAGTTCAAGCTGCATTAAAGGGGAACAACCAGGAAGATGCCATAGTTCAAGCTGCACGAAAGGGGAACAACCAGGAAGATGTCATAGTTCAAACTGCACGAAAGGGGAACAACCAGAAAGATGCCATAGTTCAAGCTGCACGAAAGGGCAACAACCAGGAAGATGCCATAGTTCAAACTGCACGAAAGGGGAACAACCAGGAAGATGCCATAGTTCAAGCTGCACGAAAGGGGAACAACCAGGAAGATGTCATAGTTCAAGCTGCACGAAAGGGGAACAACCAGGAAGATGCCATAGTTCAAGCTGCACGAAAGGGGAACAACCAGGAAGATGCCATAGTTCAAGCTGCACGAAAGGGGAACAACCAGGAAGATGCCATAGTTCAAGCTGCATTAAAGGGGAACAACCAGGAAGATGCCATAGTTCAAGCTGCACGAAAGGGGAACAACCAGGAAGATGCCATAGTTCAAGCTGCACGAAAGGGCAACAACCAGGAAGATGCCATAGTTCAGACTGCACGAAAGGGGAACAACCAGGAAGATGCCATTGTTCAAACTGCACGAAAGGGGAACAACCAGGAAGATGCCATAGTTCAAACTGCACGAAAGGAGAACAAACAGGGAGATGCCATAGTTCAAACTGCACGAAAGGGGAACAACCATGAAGATGCCACAGTTCAAGCTGCATGAAAGATTTTACTCCACTAGGACATCACACAAGCCATGAGCACTCGTTGACACAAAGTGCCACAATGTGGATGAGGATCATTCGTGGAGAGGTCCCGGAAACTGCGTTTAGCCATTGGACCATATCCATGGCCGGGCTATATTGTGGCCCCTGGCAAGCCAGGGTAGGGCTTCAAAATAACGAAAAATTGCATCCAACAATGGAATGATAATAAGTCATGAAAGGGGAACAATCAGGAAGAGAATAGAGATAAAGGGAAACTGACTCAATACAGGTTAGGAACCGAGCATTTGACAATGGGCAGGTTAAATTCGCTTAGTGGGAACAACTTTTTTTTAGCAACAGATCAACATCATGGCACACGGGTAGTAACTCCCAAGTGCTTCGTTCTTCTTCTAACTCAAGTCATGGATCCGAAGAAGCTCAGCACAGTGCACAAGCTCTGTAGCACCGGCGAGGATCCTGAAAAACTTTAGGAATATTTTAAACTCTAAATTTGGCCCTGGCAGGGCCGTTGGGCTACTCTTTTCGATTTCTAACTGCCAAGGCATTTTGTTACGTGCGCAACAATGCACACGGGCGTCCGACCTCACTACCCAGAGACCAGGGGGAATTACTAGAAGTCCAAGTCCACGTGAAAAAAAATTGAACCCGAAACCTGTAACACCCGAGGCGGACACCATGCCTCGAGACCACGCAGCCCCCTCAGTGGCAATATTGGTCCTGAAATCTCGTGTCTTAATAGTGGACAAGCTCTGTTAACTATTATAATACCAGCGAGTTCCTAATGTAGATGCCCAAGGGAATGAATGACCTCTATGAAAATCCACGAACCGCATAACATTCAAAGAGGCACACTTCGCAGCAGAAGTGATCAGATTTCATTAGTGCGCTGTGACTAATAGTAAAATGAGGGTAAACATATAACGCGACGGTAGAGATTCGAAACCGCAAGGTACCAGAGGATCAAGATGGGGTGGGATTAGATGAGGAATTCACCTGAAAAAGTCTATTACGAATCAGGTTGATTGGGACTGAACACGTCAACGTTGGCTGGTCATCCAGGCCATCACTCTTGTGTGTGTTTCGCATGCCACTCTACGGTAAAATATAACACTATTGTCTGGAACAACTGAAAGCTCTGCAGACTAAACTGTTCTCTTCTGGGCCGCTGTAAAAAGGGTTGACCACACAACAAGAAAGAAACTATGGGTGCCAACACAAACAGATCATGTGAGGCGAGCGAGAGGGGGTTGTGGGGGTGGGGCGGATTTAGGCTAAACCCTTCACATTTTTAAAAATTTAAATAAGGGTTCCTTGTGTCTTAAGCCATGTTTAACTGCATAATAATAATAATAATAATAATAATACACAAAACGTGATAAACGGTAAATTATAATAAGACTATACTTGAAATATTATGAAATAAATAAGCAAATACTTTATAATAACTCATTATATTGTTAAAAGAGGGGGGGGGCATAGCCCTCCTAAATGCTCCAGAAGCCTGGCCGCCCTTCTAAATTTGGTTGGGAGACAGGAAGGGGAATGTGTTTTAAGGGTAAATAAGGTCAATTTTTTGGCGCTCCCTGCTAAATAGCCTGTTCAACCTACTAGTTATTAGATACATGTGGGGAGTTCCAGAACCTTTTTTATAGAAAAAGTCCACGGCAGGACCTATTGTCACAAATATCGCAGCCTAGCCGTAAACAACAAAATAACCTGCCAACAGCGCTTTTGAGGGCGAGCTCAGAAGAATATTAAAAGCTCACTATTGGTGAGTGCATTACTAGAAAATTACAATCAGCCCCAACATAACGAAACAAGTCTAAAGGTTAAACAGAAATATATTCCCCTGATACTCACCTTCTGCTATTCACCTTTTTTTCCCTTCGTGTTCATCAGATCTACACTCCGGCAACAAGATCTGGTTGTTCGTCCTCCTACGCACTTTACTGGCGTGCCAGAAACTGTGTTTGCGTGCACGTTCATTTTATAGATCTGACTTATTTGTTTGCACACTGTTGGTTCCTTGCCTCTCAGGCAAATGCACTCCGACCTCAAAGGAAGCCCAAAATGAGTCGAATCATACGACATGCTTGATGGGACGGCTGAGGGTTTATTCTGTTCGCCACTCCCCCACCCCTCCCCACAATGGATCCAGAGAACCCATAGTTAGGTCTCCTTTACAGGACGTTGCAGAACAAATTCCACCATTTTTTGGCTATTTAGGTTTTCTAGGCAAGTTTACGTCCAGTAGTTTGCCATTGCTTCTAGATGGTCGGCTTCTCGATACCACTGTCGAAACCAACACAAGGCGCAGATCCTGCAGTTGGATTCGAACCTGGCATTATAGCATTATGAAGCGCGTTCAAAACGCCTAAGCCACAAATCGCAGACAGAACCCACACGGAGACCTTTAAGCTAATAAGGCTTGCAAACATTGGCCTTAAATTAACGGCTTCCCGTCGACAAAGAGTTAAACAGGAATCAGCCAAACCTGAAAAGAATTCTGCTGGGGTCATGTAGTAGTGGATCTTATCAATGCCATCTAGGGCCTCTGACTCTTTCCCGCCACCACGCCCGCCTCTGGTTGCCCTGTCTGTGTCCTGAAAATGAAAACAAAAAAATGTATATGGTTGTCATTATAGAAGAAATCAGAGTAATAATTAGAGGTAGGTTCTTATTTCTTCGGCGATTGTCTTTAAAGTTGCGCTTAGCTCATCGTATTGTAGTTTACAGCTAGACTGCGATATCTGCGCCTTTCAGCTCAACACATTCTGAATTTAGCAAAAGTGTAATTCTTCTTTCCACCACTACATGTGGTTCTCTGCATCCCAACTTTTACAAATGTATTCATTCATTCATTCATTCATTCATTCATTCATTCATTCATTCATTCATTCATTCATTCATTCATTCATTCGTTCATTCATTCATTCATTCATTCATTCATTCATTCATTCATTCATTCATTCATTCATTCGTTCATTCATTCATTCATTCATTCATTCATTCATTCATTCATTCATTTATTCATTCGTTCATTCATTCATTATCTTGTTGTGCCATTATATGTTACATAAGGCTCACAGTCTATTCTTTCACTGCCCTCTAACCTGTACAATCAGTTCAATATCATGGATGGAATCCAAAGCAGCTTTGGCCTCTCTCATCAACTTTCGTCTTAGTACTTCTTGTGGGCGTCATCGCCTCCTTAATCCCCTTTGTTTCTCATTTCAGTGCCTGTTTTTTATTCTCTGCTGGTCTCTTCTTAGAAAGTGTTCAATTTAGCGCCACGTTCTCTCCTTATAACTGTTGAAACTAGTGGATGTGCAGACATTTCTCTGTCTTATAACTGTTGATAGTAGTGGATGTGCAGACATTTCTCTGTCTTATAACTGTTGATACTAGTGGATGTGCAGACATGTCTCTGTCTTATAACTGTTGATACTAGTGGTTGTGCAGACATTTTTCTGTCTTATAACTGTTGATAGTAGTGCATGTGCAGACAAGTCTTATAAATGTTGATAGTAGTGGATGTGCAGACATGTCTTATAACTGTTGATAGTAGTGGATGTGCAGACATGTCTTATAACTGTTGATAGTAGTGGATGTGCAGACAAGTCTTATAACTGTTGATAGTAGTGGATGTGCAGACAAGTCTTATAACTGTTGATAGTAGTGGATGTGCAGACATGTCTTATAACTGTTGATAGTAGTGGATGTGCAGACAAGTCTTATAACTGTTGATACTAGTGGTTGTGCAGACATTTTTCTGTCTTATAACTGTTGATAGTAGTGCATGTGCAGACAAGTCTTATAAATGTTGATAGTAGTGGATGTGCAGACATGTCTTATAACTGTTGATAGTAGTGGATGTGCAGACAAGTCTTATAACTGTTGATAGTAGTGGATGTGCAGACAAGTCTTATAACTGTTGATAGTAGTGGATGTGCAGACATGTCTTATAACTGTTGATAGTAGTGGATGTGCAGACATTTCTCTTCTTAAACTGTTGATAGTAGTGGATGTGCAGACATTTCTCTGTCTTATAACTGTTGATAGTAGTGGATGTGCAGACATTTCTCTGTCTTATAACTGTTGATAGTAGTGGATGTGCAGACATTTCTCTGTCTTATAACTGTTGATAGTAGTGGATGTGCAGACATTTCTCTTCTTATAACTGTTGATAGTAGTGGATGTGCAGACAAGTCTTATAACTGTTGATAGTAGTGGATGTGCAGACAAGTCTTATAACTGTTGATATTAGTGGTTGCCCGGACATTTCTCTTTTTTCTTAACTCCTTTCGAATTCATCCCATTTTATTTTGATAATTTTTCCAAGACACTAGTTTGCGATTGCATATACATTTTGTTCAATGCCTTTAGTGGTCCTCCAGCTTTCACTTGCATTTGTTTAAATCAAATCAAATCATAAATAAAAACACATAATTTGGTTTTAAAAATATACAATTTGTAGTTCCATATTTTGTTCAAACTATTAAAAGCTGCGGTAAATTTGACGCTGGTCTCCCCATTTACACACCTTTACACGCTAGCTCGCTTCTGATTGGATGACCTACTGACCACCTCACGTCTGATAGGTCGGCCTCGAACGATCTAACTTTCACACAAGGTCACGGGGATATTCCGCCCTTGCGCTCTTATACCACGTTTTGTATATTTACCATGCCAGAGCTCCGAACCCTTTTAAAACCTTTAGAAACTGGGTCTACCCACCACCCCCCCCCCTCCCACCCCTCCCACCCCCCCCCTTCCAAGAGAGTGACAAAACCTATGTCACAGGCCGTCTTTTTCTCGAAAAAAAAACGTAAATCCCACACAACAACAGACTGTGACACCCATAACCTCGACCACTGCAGACTAGAGCAACCAAACTTATCACTAGAGTTGACGTACAACCGGTTGTGTGTAAATAGGTTGACCATCGTATAAACAATCACAGCTGCTTAATGCCTTGCAAATGAGTACTTAATTTCTTTCTTTGTATTTTTTTCACTATCAAAATTACTAACTACATAAGTAAATTGATTAAACTTCAAGATAGACTGAAGTGTAAATAATTGAAGTTACCTGGTGAAATGTCAGCTTGTAAGGATTCCAGGACAGTAGTGGCGTCATGTAGATGACCTCAAGTGGGATGGCGTAGGAGACACGGAGTTCGGCGTCATGACATCGTTTAGTAAACCTGTTAGCTTTGTTTGGTCTGAATACAAACATGACACTTTTCTAGGTTTGATTCTAAAATTGTGACACACCATATTTTCATTTGTAAAGATAAATATCATGAAAGGGTAATTAATATTTCATTAAATCTTCGTTTTAAAATATCAGAATAATGAATTGAAGGGTTTTCGTACAAAAGGTTAAAAATGCTGTATGTAAATGGATTTGTTTTTATTATCATTATCCTTATCATCATAATAATAATAGTCTTTATTATCTTCACCAACAGTGCCTGTTCTAAATTGGACGGGGAGGGGGGAATAGAATCCAAGACCGTTTGAACAGTCTAAGTTCAACCTGTTCAACATAACATAAAAATAAATACTACTAAAACTGAAATAATGCACTTCAGTAGAATGCCTAGTACGATACATTGCGGCTTGAATGGTACTTGTTTGAAGCAAATCAAATAATTTAAATATTTTGGAAATACCTTTTCGGAGGACTGGAGAATAGATCGGGAAATATAAACAAAATACCAACGAGCCAGTGCACTTATATGCCAACGGACACCTTATTAAGACATCCAAACATAAGTATGAAGGCCAATAAATAGATTATAAACAGCATATTCGTACCAACACTGTGTTACCAGTGCCCGACTAGGACATTATCAAAAATTAACCTACGTAAAATCCTTCTTCTTCTGCCTTCTAGCCCCCTAATGGAGCATAGGCTCTCGACCAACTCACGCTAGGTCTTTCTGTCTTTTTGCTATCCATGCAGCTCTTCCAATGAACTTCCCATCTTTTTAACTTCACTTCGTAAAATTAACACCTGCTAAATGAGATGCCTGCGAAAAACAGATCAAATGGTTAGGCCAACTAGTGAATTCAGCCACAACAATTAACAACACAAGCGTTACACATGAACAGATTCGAAGTGAAAGCAATGAGATCGCCGTAGGAACATAAATTGATGACATTAAAGAGCTTCTACGTCCACAGTAAATGACAATAGTTGAAAGTCCCGGGTTCAAGCCCCGGTGAAGGCTGGGATTTATTTCACGCGGACTTCAAGTAATTTGCCCTTGTCTTGGAGTTAGATAGGACGCCCGTGTGTATTACTGCGCACTTACAAAAAATCCCTTGGTAGTAGGAAATCGAAAAAGAGTAGCCTAATGGCGCTGCCCGCGCAAAATTTTGAGTTAAAAAGCAATGCAAAGCATTTCAGAATCCTCGTCGGTGCTACGGAGTTCGTGCATTACGCTGAGATTTTTCAGACATAGGCTTGAGTCAAAAGTAGACGGAGCACTTATGAGTTACTACCCTTGTGCCATGATAGTGATCCTAGTCTAAATCTAAACATTCATTCATTCATTCATTCATTCATTCATTCATTCATTCATTTATTCATTCATTTATTTATTCATTCATTCATTCCTTTATGCATGATATCGAAAGCATTGCACATGATAGAACGAAATGGAGGCACGAGCTCAGAGAAATATAAGAATTTAAAATGGCACATGATTGTGACGAGTCACAAAGAATGCTTATCACAAATGAATAAGGAGGCAGTCGTAAATTGCTACCACTTTATTCGAAATGAAAACACGCCATGGCAATGATGGAAGTTGTTGGAGACTGTAAGATGTGGAGAAGGAAGACCGCTTCCGTGCAATTCCATAGTAATTATGATGATGATAGTGGTGGTGACGATGAGTACAGTCAGTGGCAGAATGTACCACACCGTAAGGTGTGCGTGTTAAGGTGACACCCCAGGGTTGACACAAAGGTCAGGGCCGTATCTGGTCAAGTCCGTTCTGTGATTGCACAGCGAAACCAGCACTCAGGATAAAGCGTTTGGCCACGGCAAGAAAGAGTGAACTGTGTTGTGGACAAATCCGCAACACGATTATCGCTTTTGGGACTGAGCTGGTGAGCGGGGTCAAGAGACACGAGGTAGGGAGAACGGAGGACATTCGGTGTGCGTCGGTCAGGGAGAGAGGACGTTTAGCAAGACAGTGATAGTATTAGAGTTAGGATATTTCTGTTAGTGACTGGATAGTTTATGTACAGTGTTCTGTTAGAATAGGATTGTTCTTGTGTAGAGTATTTATGTACATGTTCTGTGAGAGAATGTCTAACTTTGGCACTCTGACCCTGTGCTAGACAGAGGCTGTGACAGTTTGGTTGGTCAGTGTGTCAATAGTTAAGAGCGTATCTCGCCGTGCTGTGGTTTGTACACCAGGAGATTGCTTGTGGTACGTACTGGCAGCGAGGTGACTGTAAAGCTCGTTCGGCCAGAGGGTCCAAGCAATAGGTGGCCACACAGCGGGAAGTCAATTGTCTATTGTATTACCTGTACTTACAATAAAGATTGTCGTGTGTGCTCTGTGTGCGTTCGGGTTCAGTGTGTGTAAAAGGTTAGTCTGTCTGTCATAGGCCCAGTTACGAGCCACGGACCAGCAAGGTCACCCAGAGGTCTGTGACAGATAATGATAACTGCTAGCAGTAACGAATAAAATACACGCCATGATGCACTTACGTAAGTGTGCACTGTTCTGTTGTCAGGGGCGCGACTCGTGGTTGTCTTGTCTGGGCCACCCAAATGTTCTCATCATTGAACCCCAGGGCCGCATACTGGCAGAAAGTGAGCATATAGATTGTGAGGGACAACATACAGTTAATGATATACTGGTACAAAGTAAGCATACAGATTGTGGGGGACAACATACACTTAATGGCACACTGGACAAAAGTGAGCATATAGATTGTTAGGGACAGCATACAGTTAATGACATACTGGCAGAAAGTGACCATATAGATTGTGGGGACAACATACAGTTAATGATATACTGGCACAAAGTGAGCATATAGATTGTTGGGGACAACATACGGTTAATGACACACTGGTAGAAAGTGAGCGGACAGATTGTGGGGGACAACATACAGTTAATGACACACTGGCGGAAAGTGAGTAGATAGACTGTAGGGGACAACATTCAGTTGACATACGGGCAGAAAGTGATCATGTAGATTGTGAGGGACAACATACAGTTAATGACTCACGGGCAGAAAGGGAACATTTAGATTGTGGGGACAACATACAGTTAATGATATACTGGCAGAAAGTGAGCATATATATTGTGGGGACAACATACAGTTAATGACATACTGGCAGAAAGTGAGCATATAGATTGTGAGGGACAACATACAGTTAATGACTCACGGGCAGAAAGGGAACATTTAGATTGTGGGGGACAACATACAGTTAATGACATAGGGCAGAAAGTTAGCATATATATAGGGGGGGGGGGGGTGGGGGCATACAGTTGATGACATACCTGCAGATAGTGAGCATATGGATTGTGGGAAAGAAACGTACATTTGATGAGAAGTGAACAGAGGGTTGACATATAGATTGTGAAGAAAACATGCAGTTTATGATTTCCGGACTGATGGTGTGCACATGGATTGTGGGAAAACCTACAGTTGATGACATACAGTCATATAAGAGCATTAACATTATGGGGAAATTAACAGCAGTTGCCTTACGAGCAGATGGTGAAGACATAGATTGTGGGAACAACATACAACTGACGACATACTGTAAGATAATGAGCATTCAGATTGGGGGAACAACATACAACTGACGACATACTGTCAGATAATGAGCGCTTAGATTGTGGGAACAACATACAACTGACGACATACTGTCAGATAATGAGCGCAAAGATTGTGGGAACAACATACACCTGACGACATACAGTCAGATAATGAGCGCATAGATTGTGGGAACAACATACACCTGACGACATACTGTCAGATAATGAGCGCATAGATTGTGGGAACAACATACAGCTGACGACACACTGTCAGATAATGAGCGCATAGATTGTGGAAACAACATACAACTGACGACATACTGACAGATAATGAGCGCATAGATTGTGGGAATAGCATACACCTGACGACATACTGTTAGATAATGAGCGCGTAGTTTTGGAGCTGGATTTTCATCCAAAGTCCGACATTACTTCCCAGAACTTCACCTTGCACCTATTTCAGGCTGAGTCGACCTCTGAACCAATGTCATTTTCTTAAAAGAAAAATAACAACCGACTTGATGCGGACTCAAACCCAAGTCCCATGGGCTGGCAGGGGAGCGCCTAGCCATAACGCTACCGCAACTTGGCTAGAAGAGAATGTACGAATGAGCTACTTACAGTGATTCCGCCTGCTCCACTCTTGAATGACTTGTACGACCTGTGGTAGTAGGCTGAGTTAAGCAGTGCGTTCTGCTCAGTATAAGCCGTGTTAAACATTTCCTCGCCAAATACAGTGAATGTCAGGTTTGATCCGTGGTTGTCTTTGCCAGGAACTGTTGCAAAAATCTCGTCCAAAATCTGATAGTTCATTTTCCTGTTTAGACGAGAAACACAGTCAATGGGTTTCTTAACGTTCAGAAAAAAAGGCAGGACGAACAGAAGAGAGAAGTTTAAATGAAGACCTTAAAAGTGAGATAAAAACTACAATAATTGTGTCATGTAACTTGTCTGTGCAGCTCTCTGTGTAGCTCTCTGTGTAGCTCTCTGTGTAGCTTGTCTGTGTAGCTGGTCTGTGTAGCTTGTCTGTGCAGCTCTCTGTGCATCTCTCTGTGTAGCTCTCTATGTAGCTTGTCTGTGTAGCTTGTCTGTGCAGCTGTCTGTGTAGCTGTCTGTGTAGCTGTATGTGTAGCTTGTCTGTGTAGCTGTCTGTGTAGCTTGTCTGTGTAGCTGTCTGTGCAGCTTGTCTGTGAAGCTGTCTGTTTAGCTGTCTGTGTAGATTGTCTTTATAGCTTGCCTGTGTAGCTGTCTGTGTAGCTGTCTGTGTATCTGTCTGTGTAGCTGTCTGTGTAGCTTGTCTGTGTAGCTTGCCTATGAAGCTGTCTGTGTAGCTGTCTGTGTAGCTTGTCTGTGTAGCTTGTCTGTGTAGCTGTCTGTGTAGCTTGTCTGCGTAGCTTGTCTGTGTAGCTGCCTGTGTAGCTTGTCTGTGTAGCTTGTCTGTGTAGCTGTCTGTGTAGCTGTCTGTGTAGATGTCTGTGAAGCTTGTCTGTGTAGCTTGCCTGTGTAGCTGTCTGTGCAGCTTGTCTGTGTAGCTGTCTGTGCAGCTTGTCTGTGTAGCTGTCCGTGTAGCCTGTCTGTGTAGCTGTCTGTGTAGCTGTCTGTGTAGATGTCTGTGTAGCTTGTCTGTGTAGCTTGCCTGTGTAGCTGTCTGTGCAGCTTGTCTGTGTAGCTCTCTGTGTAGCTGTCTGTGTAGCTTGTCTGTGTAGCTCTCTGTGTAGCTGTCTGTGTAGCTTTCTGTGTAGCTTGTCTGTGTAGCCTGTCTGTGTAGCTTGCCTGTGTAGCTGTCTGTGTAGCTGTCTGTGTAGCTGTCTGTGTAGCTTGTCTGTGTAGCTGTCTGTGTAGCGTGCCTGCGTAGCTGTCTGTGTAGCTGCCTGTGTAGCTGTCTGTGTAGCTGTCTGTGTAGGTGTCTGTGTAGCTTGTCTGTGTAGCTTGCCTGTGTAGCTGTCTGTGCAGCTTGTCTGTGCAGCTTTCTGTGTAGCTTGTCTGTGTAGCTGTCTGTGTAGCTGTCTGTTCATCTGTCTGTGTAGCTGTCAAGTATGTCGAGGGTGTTAAGCCTATGACATCACATTGCCGACAAACACACTTTTGACATGCACCAGTGATCAGACAGTTACTGGTACCACCAGAAGTAGATTCTACACAGGTTGCCGAAAATGGTTAGGAAGCACTTTTTGGAATGTTCCTGCTGTCATGAAGTCAATTCCTAATTTAACTCAAAACGGTCAAGAAATTTACTATCTGTGATGATGTGGTTAAGTAATTTGTCTTAAACTCTGGTGATCATAGGAAAGGTTCAAGAATCATTTGTTTGAACTGCGACGGAGTATTTCGGATACCTCTGTGAGTCATTACTGGAGCTGCGGAGTTTCAACTGTGAGACTCCTTCGCTGGCGACGAGTGGCGTTGCTAACAGAGATTAAGCCATATGAGTGAGTACCCAACAAACGAACGAACCAACGAACAAACTTTATTTTTAAAGGGTTAAGAATTGGGCACTTAGGCCCGTCTAACATTCTGCCCTTCGAGGTCTTCCTCCATTCTTACATCATTTCATTCACACATCAGGAAATAAAACATCATCAAAAGCATCAAAACATTAAATACAAGCACTAGAATGTCTACATTTTTAACTACAACAAAATGTAGTGGTTGTTATAAATCTATGGAAAAATGACGCTATTTCAAAAATGAAATTAGGACAGTTTAGACCGGTCCCAAGAGCGGATGAAAAAAGGATGATTGTCTGGCTGAACCTACGGGCTTCGTGCGTCTCAGAGAGTAGACGATAGATTTTTTTTTTAAACGAGACCTAGCAACAAAAACAGCAGCTGCACAGCCAAAGGTGCAACAGCATAACAGACAGCGCACGCTACGCAGCTACGTCAGCAGACAGTACAACAACAACAATAAACCTGGCCGGGTCAAACACTCAAACCTAGCAGCAGAATATATTAGAACAAAAAAACTGTCTGGTTTGACTTAAACCTAGCAGCAAGAGATAGAACAACGACAAATCTTGTCAGATCGAACAAGTTAAACCTGGCAGCACAAGGAAAGAGAACAACAACAACAAACCTAGCCGGGGCCAAGAACTTAAACCTATCAGCAGCAGACAGAACAACAACAAACCTGGCTCGGTCGAACAACTTAAACCTAGCAGCAGCAGATAGAACAACAGCAACAAAGCTGACTAGGTCGAACAGCTTAAACCTAACAGCAGCAGATAGAACAACAACAAACATGGCTGGGTCGAACAACTTAAAACTAGCAGCAGCATATAGAACAGCAACAACAAACCTGGCCGGATCAAACAACTTATACCTAGCAGCACCAGGAGACAGAACAACAACAAACCTGGCTCGGCCGAACAACTTAAACCTAGCAGCAGTAGAAGATAGAACAACAACAACAGTAACAAACCTGGCCGGGTCCAACAAATTAAACTTAGCAGTAGAAGATAGAACAGCAACAACAAACCTGGCCGGGTCGAACAACTTAAACCTAGCTGCTCGGGTGCTGGCTGTCTCCAGGATGGTCTGACCCGTGTCCACGCGAAAACTGAGGTCATCTTCCTGAAACAGACCAGTTGAGAAGCTTCTATGTTAGACACATTTATTCATTTGTAATCCTGTTGTGCCATTTTATGTCACATAGGGCTCGTAGTCTATTCCTCCCTTCCGTTAAATCTTGTGCAATTTGATTAATATCATAGATCGAATCAAGTCCAGCAGCTTCAGCCTCTCTCATTAACGGTTGTCTTGGGATTTCTCTTGGACGTCCTCGGCTTCCTAATCCATTTATTTCCCATTGTAATGCCTGTTTGGTGATTCTCTGTTCGTATCTTCTCAACATGTGTACAAAATAGTTCCATCTTCTCTGTCTTATTACTGCTGATAGTAGTGTTTGCTCAGACATTTATCTTATTTTTTCACTCCATTTCAATTCATCCCATTCTTTTTTCGTCATTTTCTTCAGGGGCAGGATGAGACGGATAAAAAAATCAAACGGTTTATGGTACCATCGGAATTGGAACACTTCGCTTGCTGCTGAAGATGGAGACTGAGCACCTACGGGAGTGTCCTGAGTGCTGTGATGTCGATTCCCAATTCAACATTTTACCATTTGTTTTCAAATGCATTTAACTTTCGTTTCATGTCTTTAGTGGTTCTTCTACTTTCACTTGCCTTTGTTAAAACTGAAACAACATGAGAACTTCTTCTTCTTCTTCGCGTTCACCAGCTGTACACTCTGCAGGAGAGTTCTGGTTGGCCGTCCACTACTGAACTGTAGTCCTGCTCCAGAACCTGAGTGTTGCGTCTGCATTAGTTTTACAGATCTCATTCTCTTGAATACAGACTGTTGGTTCCTTGCCTCTCTGGCAGATGCACTCCGACTTAAAACGCATAACTTCGTTTTAAAACCAGACAATTTAGATTTCCATGTTTTGTTCAAGTTATTTAAAGCTGCTAATGCTTTGCCAGTTCGTGTCATCATTTCTGTTTTTTCCCCCTTTACATTTGATCTGTTAGTTTAATTATTGTTGTATCTAGTGTTACACCTGCCTGATCTGTTGTTGGTGTTTTCAATGTATTTTTTTTTTTCAAAACTTACTCGTAGTCCAACCCTTGATAGTGTATTTGTTAAATCATTTGTTTTCCTGTTCATGTTGTTGTGGTGTTTACTTAGCACAAAAATATCATCAACAAAGTCAAAATCTGTGAACTGTGTGTTCTCGACCGAGTCAATGCCGGTGTTTCTAACACACCATGTTTTCAGCATCAAGTCAGTGGTTATGTCAGATAACAGATGAAAAAAAAATACATCATTGTTTCACTCCAGTATCAACTTCAAACCAATCTCTAAAGGTTTTGTCAAATAACAGATGAGACAAAATGCATCCATTTTTCACTCCAGTATCAACTTCAAACCAATCTCTAATGGTTGTGTCAAATAACAGATGAGATCAAATGTATCCTTGTTTCACTCCAGTATCACTTCAAACCAATCTCTAATGGTTATGTCAAATAACAGATGAGATCAAATGTATCCTTGTTTCACTCCAGTATCACTTCAAACCAATCTCTAATGGTTATGTCAAATAACAGATGAGATCAAATGTATCCTTGTTTCACTCCAGTATCAACTTCAAACCAATCTCTAATGGTTATGTCAAATAACAGATGAGACAAAATGCATCTATTTTTCACTCCAGTATCAACTTCAAACCAATCTCTAATGGTTATGTCAAATAACAGATGAGATCAAATGTATCCTTGTTTCACTCCAGTATCAACTTCAAACTAATCTCTAATGGTTATGTCAAATAACAGATGAGATCAAATGTATCCTTGTTTCACTCCAGTATCAACTTCAAACTAATCTCTAATGGTTATGTCAAATAACAGATGAGATCAAATGTATCCTTGTTTCACTCCAGTATCACTTCAAACCAATCTCTAATGGTTATGTCAAATAACAGATGAGATCAAATGTATCCTTGTTTCACTCCAGTATCACTTCAAACCAGTCTCTTAGACCATCGTCTGTCCGCACTGTACACTCTGAACCTTCATACATTATATTATTGTTTTTTTCAATTGTATACCATAGCATTCCGAAATCCCCACAGGGATGTTCTATATCAGCTATTAAAAGCCTTGTTAACAGAAATGAAATTCTATATAAGGCATTTTTGTTTTTCAATAGATTCTTTAAAAATAAGTCTCGGAGTAAATATTTAATCTAAGCAGCTTTTTGCAGGTAGAAAACCAGCTTGTTTCTCTCCCAGGATTTTGTCCACTACCTATTTAATTCTATAGATAATTATTTTACATAAAGTAGTTGGCATTACTAATAACAGAATAATTCCTCTTCGGTTGTTACCGTCAGTAAGATTACCTTTCTTTGGAATTTTAACAAGCGATTAACTGTAGCTCTGGCCCCGGAATGTATTTTCATGTCTAATTGCTGCCGTCTGAATTTAGCGTGTGGCTTGTGAATGCTAATGGCTTTGCCAAAACAGCAATCTGGGTCGTTGTTTTTCCACAAGGGTCAACGATGGGCATTTTATGTAGTCTTCGTTTCAACATGAGTGGAGCAACTAGAGAGAGCGGGTCAAAGGGAGGGGTAGGGCTGTTTACTGTGAAAGTGGAAATGGCAAACACCTGATCACCTAACGATGATGCACGATGGATGATCGTGACTGCCCTTACTCATCAGTAAGACACTTGATGACAGTAATAATGATAATGATGAATTTGATATACCTGGTAAAAATACGCAAGAGGGATATCATCTTTGATTGGACTACACAAGATGCGATAATTCCACTGTGCGTACTGTACCTTTCCTAGAGAGAAAATATAATTGTTCATAGTTTTTGATATTAATATAAGTCAACATAAATATAAATTTAAATTAGGCTATTTTTACGAACCACCATGTATACAAATGTGAATTAGAGAAGATGTAAAACATATTTAAACAAATCAGCACAAATAGTTCATTAAAGAGCAACAGATGTGATGGTCTGGCTTTTGAGGAAAATAGAATAGTAATAACTGTCTTAGAGAGGCATGCTAAACATCTAATGGATATAGAACAAGGGTAAGACCACGCAGACAATGGAACGACTTCATCAAAAACAAAACCCTTAATGAGATGAAGAACTAACCTATTCAACACACTGATAAGAGCACACAGAAAAGCCACCCCCCCCCCCCCCCCCCCCCCTTTTTTTTTCTTCTTCAACCGCTTTAATACTTTGGTGAAGCAACTGGAGGAAGTGAGGAAGAAGAAGAAGCAGACGGGTCATGTAAATCAAAGCTTATGTAGTATAACCGGTTTACACATTCTCTCCATTGTCCTGTTTTGCCATTATATGTCATATAAGACCTTCAGTCTACTCTTTTATTACATTAGAAGCCATCTGTTAGATATCATCGACGGAATCTGGTCCAACAGCTTAGCTTCTTTCATCAGCGTTCGGTTCACGGTGTCTCGTTTTCTCAATTCCTGTCGCCCCACCCCCCATGTTGTTGCTATTTTTGTGATTCGCATCTCGTTTCCTCTCAGGATGTATTCAGTATAAAGCCATCTTCTCCGTCTTTCATACTGCTGACACCAACGGTTGCCATACATGTCTCTTTGAGGTACCGTTGTGCCGGTAGGAAAGTGCACGGGGCAGGACAGCCGGCGAGAAATTCAGTTTTCTTCAGACAGCCCGCGATGAGAGCAACGTTCTGCAAAGGCCCTGCTTAATCATGATGATTGTTAGCTGGGGTGAATAAAATTGATGAAACATTTGTTCTCATTGCCTAAAGTTACTTTAGAGAAAAAGAAAACATGTTAACATACTTTATGTGACCTTTCAGGTACAGTTCTCTCACACATCAGTTTAGAGTAGTCAGACCCTAACCCAACTTTGCATTTGTTCTGTTACATAGGTTCTCTTACCTGTGACAGGGTCCACAGACATGATTGTTGAAGGGAGAAAGGCGATGTTCTCCAGACGGTTTTTCACGCCGGTGAAAGCTGTGAAACGGTTCTAAACAATTCAGAGAGACAAAAGAACCGTTTGGGGGAATTATCAGAAATTATCAGAAACATTATATTTTAGTTGCGTATCCTTTACAGGATGTTGCAGAACCAACCCTAACAGCCACTGGCTGTTGTGTGGTTTTTCAAGGCAAATTTACGTCCAATAGTTTGCCATTGCTTTCTGGATTGTCGGCTTTTTTGATACAACTGTCGAAACCAACGCAGACGCATGGCATCCCGGCATTACGGAGCGTTCGCATCGACTTAGTAACAGAGCCGACATTAGAAACATTACTCTACGTAAAATTCTATTTCAGTTTGCTTGACTTGCCATAAAAATGGTTCGGCGTGACACACCTGGCACTAGGTTGGCTAAGTTCAAATCCCTCGAGCACACGATCCTTCCTTTCTAATCTAGCTACACCAAAAGATTCATTGTCAGTTTCAGTTTTTTTTTTTCGGCAAACCGCTTTGCGTGATTTCGAGTGTAACCAAGGCTTTTTTCTTCTTCATCTAGGAAGAAAAAAGTGCCATTACTTAATACAAAGGTTCTATTTCAGTGGCGCTGAAACAAAAAGAATGCCTCAAAAATGTGTCAGTGCTGTGTAGCGTCACACACAAACACAAAATTTGCTCTGCGCGTATCTGACTTATGAAGGCATTTGGTAACTTACGTCAAACATTACTAGGGGCATTGCTTGAGTTTTGTGGTAAACCAAAGAAAATAACAAACATTTTAAAAACAATATGTTAGAGTTCAGAGTGTGCAGTGCGCAGAAATGATGATTTAAGTGATTAGTTAGCAATGGAAACTGGAGTGAAACACGGACACATCGCATCTCGTCTGTTCATAATGCTCACATCTAAATTGAACGAGTAGATGAATCAGGACGTGACTATCGGTTGTAAATTTGGCTTTCCAGTATTCAAGTCTTAATCTCCATAATTTGTTATCTGTTGGAATTGTTAGTATGTCTAAGACTTTTGATATGAGGGGATTCTCTCAAATATTCGCACACCCTTCTGTCAGTAGCACTCGTTTCCCACTATCTCTTCCACATTTCTGTAATACTCCCATACCATTTGATTTGACTTGATCCATCAGATTTTCATAGGCAGGTTTCTATTAGATTATGGCTGCTGGTACGTCTTTTTTGCAAAAATGTCCGCCTTTTCTTCTTCTTCCTCGCTTTCACCAGCTGTACACTCTGGCGGAAGGTTCTGGTTGCTCGTCCACTACTGCAGTAACCCATGCTATAGTGATTTGGCATCTGTTGTTCCTAAGTTAAGTGGTTAGTGTTATTATCTCCCCCTTTAATGTCTGATCTACTTTCCTTGGTAGAGTTTTCTTTTGATTGTACCGATGAACGAGAATCTGTTATTATTGTCAATTTCAAGGGGGGATTTTCCGCTGCTATCTCTTAGGCTTTTATTATGTCCAGTAGTTCGACTGTGAAAAGTGACGTATGATCTATAATTTAAAATTTTTTTAGTATTTTTATTTTCCAGTAAGGAATATAAACACTTGCTCCTACTTCTCCTTTATCCTTTTCGGATCTAAAAGTGTGCATTATCAGGTTATCATTTTCAATGTTTCTAATGTGCCGCTCTACTATGGCCCTTACTTGTAGTGTGGATCAGTGTTTTGTGAAATCTGTTTTACCAGGCTCATGTCTAGATATGGTGGTTTCAATTCCCACAATGGTATCTGAGGTTGATATCGCTGACTTAATTCAAGTGTTCTTGCTAGTTCCTTATTAGTTTACATTTCTTCTGTAGCATCCCATGCTGCTGGCCTAAAATGTTTCTTACTGGCACTCCCTTGAACTTGTTTGTATTGATCGCCACGCACTAAGGGATGTACTGAAGATAGGATCCGAGCGCTTATAAACGTGTCTGAGGTGCGATGATAATCACCGATTGAGTAGCTAACTAATTAACTAACTAGCAAGATAACTAACTAATTAGAATGACTTTGAGCGTAGTGCTTTTGAGAAAGCAATGGCAAACAATTGCTAGTAAAACTACAAACTGTAAATAAATACTTGGTGCATTTGGGAACATACTGACGATAATATTCAACATTCAAATACTTAAATTAACGCCTAAATTATTTCCTTTTTTCCTCTCAGCTAAAATTATTGCTTGGATTCTCCATGACCAGCAAGCTATGAATATCTGTAATACTTTATGAGCAGATGTTTATCTTATCTGACATACACATCTTTCCCGTGGTTGAATTCCTGCGGCCGTTCTACTGAGCCGCCAACTTGTTTCCGTAATTAACGAAAGGTTATTACCCTGTTTCAAACTGATTACGTTAATAACTTCTTGTGATTAAAATATTACTGGCGCAATAGGTGTGAGTCAGAACGGCGCGATGTTGACCATAGACCACGGCTCACAAATCTGAGCTGTGACATTCTTTCATGTTCTTAAAAGGTTGTGGCGCTGTGTTCCCACGCAATGTGCTGATTTTATTTGCTGTTCACGCATTTCAACAGGCGCAGTTTATGTTAGCCTAACACCTAAGTTGTATCACTTAGTGCGATTCCTCAGGGGTCACATAGCAGTCGTTTCCTAGGAAGCGACTTGAACGTGATTTTTCTAAATTTTGAATTTAACTGAGCCTCCTTACATAATGATTGAAGATGTGAGGTGTCAGCTGCCCTAACAAATAATATTCAGGGGGAACCCTTGAAAAGTCTGCACCGTCAGATTATGGGGTTATGTGTGTGCCTGTGTATATATGTGTGTGAGTGTGTGTGTGTTGTGTGTGTGTGAGTGTGTGTGTGATCATCATCGTTATCTTAAACCACTTCTGCCGTCAAGCGTCCTGGGAAGGAATAATTTGTAATCCAGTGCACGCTTGCTGGGCACTGGCCATTGAAATGACGTAAAGGCGTAAAGTGTCTTTAATGCTGTCGATCCAATTTTACGTGGCCGTCAATTTGCTCTAGTAGCCTATATTCTGAGGTGCAGTGCTCTTGATGGGAGATGAGATGTGTGAGAAAGGCTGTGAATAAAACCAGGATAAATCGAGTGAAAAAGGACATTATCACAAGAACTGTTGGAACAAAACCCATCGTCAAATTTACCGAGAAACATAGAATGAAATGGTTTGGCCATCTAATGAGAATGGAACTAACGATGCCAGCAACAAGAGTGTACAACCTGAAAATCAAAACACCAAGAGGCAGAGGAAGATCGAGAAGAAGATGGATTGAAGGAGTCACTGACACTTTGAGACTGCATAACATCATGGCATATCAAGCGAACGAGCGCGCCCTGACTCGGCTGCCTATCGTCTGATGAACTGCGTCGCCTAGCGGCGTAAGCAAATGTTGACAAAACAAAGAAGAAGAAGAAGAAGAAGAAGAAGAAGAAGAAGAAGAAAAGAAAAAAGAAGAAGAACGCAGTTCATTTGTTTAGCAGCTGAGTCGTGCTATTCAATATGACCGGTAGCCGGCTTACGTGTGGGATGGTGAGATCTACGTGTGTATAGCGACACACTTCATTTCTGGTGGCGACTGTTGGCTTTGGTGCCTCTAGCAACTGCCATTTGCATTTACTGCATGCTCATATTTCTGGGGTGGGCCAAGACTTAGTGAGAGACATTTCATTTGATTTTCACTGGCACAGGAATGGGCCAAGTATGGGGTGACCCTATTGCAGTAAAGTTGAAACCTCGACTAACACTAAAGTCTGACATCATTATTCACTCGTTCTCGGTTGGTTAGTTGAGGCCTTTCTCAGGCATCTCATTTCACAGGTGGTGATTGTGCATGCATGGGCTTTAGATAATGTCCATCTTGGGCACTGGAAGCTTAGTGTTATTATAAGTATACTGTATAAAGTCTATGTGTGTGTAAAATGACAACATGTTACCTTCTCGTATAGGTCGGCCCAAGATGTGGCGTCCAGCCAGTGTCGGTCACTTGGGAACGGTTCTTCTATCTCCTGGTCAAGTGTCCAGGCTCCTTCTAGATAGCACAGGACCGGCTTGAAGTATTTAGTGTAGTCTCTTTTACTTTTGTCCTGATTCTGGAAGGCTTTGAACCATTCTCGCATCTCTTCAATTTGCCCCTGGATATATGCATACACAAAGTTTTGTACT